GAGAGACAGAAAGAGAGAGATGGAGAGAGAGACAGAGACAGAGAGACGGAGACACAAAGAGACAGAGAGACAGAGAGAGGAAGAGGTGGAGAGGGGAGCAGAGAGCAAAGAAGAACAGCATGAAAGTTTAACGGAAACACAAAAGTAACTAGTGGGGAAAGTGCCTCGGAAGGGGAACAATAGCAGCGCTGACTCTATGCAGAATGGCAATCGAAAACTGGAGTGCAAAAGGTGCTTCCAGCAATATTTTGTTGGATTTTGGGTACACATCTCACAGTAATGCACACACATCAAAAAAGGCTGACAAAGACATCACTCATTGTAGATGTATCCACGACTTGTATGTCCCCAAATACCCGTAGGCAGAGGATATAATGCAAGGATGAAGGGAAACATTATTTTAGAACCCATCGCAAGCATGAAAAGCAAGAAAGAAAGCGAAAGCATGCGATTGCGTACATGCAGAAACCTGCACTTTGGTTGGTGCTGCCATGGCACACACCACGAATGTGATTCCATAGAACTCAATTCAATCTGCAGGCAGATGTGAAATACTTCATTTTCGGAAAATCACGAATACCAAAAATTGTTAAAGGGGAAGTCTGGTGAAAATTCAAATTTTACAGTCCGTAGAGTTCGGGGCGCTGAGTCGAATGGTCTTTCTCCGAGGAGGCTGCGGCCTATGGTTCGTCAGATACGCCCAATCGAACATGTGCGAATTTGAGCGCGCAACACCCAGATCCAGGTGATGACGTCACAGCGTGCAGCCAGGTAGCCACACCACCTAGTTGTGTACAAAATGGCCATATTCGGAGCGCGTTCGATTGGGGAGACGTTTGTGGCAGCTTCTTCGGACCAAGACCATTCTATTCAGTGTTACAAACACTACGTACCCTGTGATTTTCAGCTCGGTAAACCTCGCGGTTATACCGTATTTTAGCCGTTTCCGAGTTGGACTTTTCCCGTCGGCATGCACTGGCCTCTACGACTCTAGCAATGCGCTGTGTGCATGCTAGCTGTAGTGTAGTCAACAAACTCATGACACACGAAACTACTCCCGCACTGCCGTGCTAGGGTAGCCACAACAAGACTCGAGTCACAGGACTCAGAAAACTAGTCAACACACGGACTTGTCATGTACTACACTCGTATCAGTCGTATTGTACAGGCATGTAGTCAGAGAACGTGCGTTTCTCCTTGCCGGTGCCGGTGGTTGTGCTTTGAGAAGAAGTTTTCCGCTCCCGCCTCATTATTTTATGCTACAGCGATGAGTGCACAACCGTGACAGGTGACAAAACAGCGACAAAACAACGAACAGCTCCTGAACCTAGAACTTTCAGATCCCGTAGCGTTGCGAGTGAAGAGTCGTGCCCGTGGTTCAAAGAGCCTGCACTGTTCTCTAATTGAGTAGTCCGAAATATGCCAAGTTCGCACCAAAATATTATCATGTGGCAGGCTACTGGAGTCTAAGCGAATCGGTATGGAACATCATTTAGAGCACGCGCATCACTCTTCTCCATTTTGGCGACTCTGCTCTCCAGCGATCTGATAATTATATCAGCCTCGTCTGCTATAGCTGCTGCGTCTTCAACAGTCAGAAACTCAGTAGCGCTCACTCTTGATCGGCCAGCGCGGCCATTTCTTCAGCTGAATACCGAGGTTCTCAGCCCCAGACCAAACTCGTGAAGGTCAGCCATGGCTGCATCCTCACTCTCACAAGGAGTTACGTCTTCAGGGTCGCTTGCACCACCTACTATCGGTCGCCAAATCATTTGAAATAGCACTGGCACTATTGCTTTCACGCACTCCTTTTGACCTAGCTGCACGCTATGACGTTGCGGAGGGTGTGGCGCGGCCGCATGACGTCATGGCGCAGCCCCCGAAACTCAGTTTTTCAAACGAAAATATCTCAAGAACGCTTTGTCGGAGACACGTGGGACCAACACCATTCGACTCAGCGCCCGAAACTCTACCGACCCTGAAATTTTAATTAATTTTTCACTGGAGTTCCCCTTTATTATCGGTGCAAGATCATTGCCAGCATGCCCAGGGTTGTAGAGGAATTCATATAATGTTGTCCTGGCAACAGCGCAGCGATCGACTACCAGGACAGTGCCTGCTTGGGCTAATCGATGTGTGCGAATGCCCCAACATGCGATCATTGACAATATTGTCTTTGTACGTACCTGGAGTGCACGGCAGCGGCTTCTGAAAATAGAGTATACACAGACAAGCATGTGCATACATGCACACGCACGCACACACACACACACACACACACACACACACACACACACACACACACACACACACACACACACACACACATGCACACACATGCACACACACACATACGCGCGCATGCACACACACACACACACACACACACACACACACACACACACACACACACACACACACACACACACACACATACACACCAAGGTTTGTACTTTAGAGTTTAGACAGTGACAGCAAGCACCTGTTTGTGCTTTCTTTCCATTACGATAGAAAGGGGGTTCAGCAACAAGAGATATAGAATCATGGATACACAGCGCAGTCGAAAACGTCCATATCCAATGCTGTGGAAAGCCACTGCCTGCAGTTGCCTATGCAAACTATTTGGCTATCGCAGGATAGATCGATCCATGCTCACTTTGACGAGCATATCACCGTGAATGTTTAGTACTCCACACACGCAAGAGATACTTTAGCACTCGTCCAGTCACATGTTAAAGGGGAAGTTAAGGCAAAAATTAAAATTTCACCAGTTGTAGTCTTCGGGGTGCTGAGTCGAATGGTCTTGGTCCGAGAAAGCTGAGACGCTCCCTTCCTACTTGAATCCCAATCGAACTCGCGCACTTCCACCGAAACTGGGTGACTGCGCCCTACTAGATGGGGATTTGTATGCAAAATGTCACTAAAAGCGCAATTTCGTTCTTATAAAAGCACGGATGACCGCGATTGGCCCATATGTTGTAGTCTTTTGGACGCTGAGTCGACTGGTTTTGGTCCGAAAAGGCTGCGATGCAGCGTTCCTCCTTTATTCCCAATCGAACATGCTTGAACAAGCGGTCACGTGCTCCTGGGTGCCCAAATCACCTGGTCACCACGCCAGCAGGCGACAACTTTCACACCAAGGTTCAACTCGAGTTCAACTCGAGTGACAGGACTGCAACCAAAAAAGGTCAAACAGGCTAGTATTGAAGTAAGTTGTACCCTGCAGGCACGGTGACCAGGTGACTGGCGTACGCAGGAGCACGTGACCGCTTGTTCAACCATGTTTGATTGGGAATAAAGGAGGAACGCTGCATCGCAGCCTTTTCGGACCAAAACCAATCGACTCAGCGTCCAAAAGACTACAACATATGGGCCAATCGCGGTCATCCGTGCTTTTAT